TTTATAGTTGTAATTTTTCTACTTATGTGGGTACAATAAAAGGTAAATTGGTAATGTCATAGAATGATGAATATTTGTTTTATAGATAAAAAACAAAGCATATAATTTTCTAGCAATTTCTTAATCTGTAAATCATAGATTAGTATGCATAAACAAGAGGGTTTTGTTTCTCTTATACATGTTAACAAGCTTCTGATTTTTAAAATCATTTGATTTATATAATTTTCTTAGTCAGACAAAATTGATGTTTCTAGATGAGGTAAGTATATAGAAATGTGAAATCAACAAATATTGTATAGGAGTAAGGAACTCAAGCTAGACCTTCTACATACAATTAAATTGCCAGTAAGGATTTCAAAGCATTAACTTAAATCCTGTATGTTTTACTATTAATAATTTTCGTACATAAAGAATCCTAGCACAGTTGAATTGCCCTAATTATTTTCAGCAAACTCTAAATTCTTTTTATTTTTTATAGAAGTATATGGTTTTAGCTCCAACTTTATTTAGTTTTAGCAGTTCTCAAGGCATGCAGCATGCAAAACTTTGGAGGTAGAATGTTCTGAATGGTGTCTGCCATAATCAGTTCCAAAGAAATTTAAGAAAAAATGGAAAAGAATAAATCATCCTCTAAAGCTCAGTGGTTGTTAGTTCCATGTACAGCTTGAAGTTTTTTTTTTTTAATTTTGTTTAATGCTTTCAACCAATAGTTCTAGGAATGAAACATCCTCCTTGACAAAAGTGAATCCCTATTGTCCATACTCATTCTTCCAGTGTGTGGTTGCTATGGAATCAACTTCTCATGTTGAAAATAAAAGGGAGCTTCTGGAGTTGGGAATTTTCTTTGTAGAACAAGAGTAGGTAAATTTTGAGGAAACTTTTAGTAGGAGCACTCAAATAAAATAAAACATATGGAGAGCCATGTTTTAGCTAAGTTTGTACTTTGATTTAGATGCATTATTGATGTTTTAAAGCACTTACTGGATTTGTATGCCAACATTAATTTGAGTTGTTATCTGCTAAACCAAAATGTAATTAGCAAGATATCATAGAATTGAGGGAGACAAATATACAGAGATAAGAGATTAATTTATTTTTATTTGAAAGGTACTCTATTTCTAGGATACCAAGAGATACAGCAAGAGAACTGAAGCTTACATCTTTAATTAGTATTGCATATAACACCATCTTATACAATACTGTTGACATCAATTGTTCCCAGTCCCCCACAGTTTTCCATTCAGTTGTATTTCTGCAAAAATCGAGGTTGAGATTGAATCAATTGTGACTGAAATGTGAGAAGTTTTGTGTTCTCATAACAAACCTGTAGACGGATTCATGGTGGTAAAAGGACGGAAGCTGGAGTGCGCAATTGCACTGCTAATGTCCCAATTTTGGGCTAAATTGGGTAAGTAGTTGCTGTTGCTGTTGTTGCTGCAACTTGCATCTTTTAACATTAGAAGGTTTTGCTGATAGCCCATTGTTGCAGATGGCCTCAACTTCCTCCTCATCACTATCGATTCTTCGATGATGTTTCCTTTAGGAGAATGATTGGCAAGTGAGTGGTGAGAGCTTGGATCTTCAACTTGACCACGAGCAACAACCTTCATGGAGGATGTGCCATTGTAAGAGGATGATTTCTCCCATGATTGATGTTGGTTCAAGGGACTTGGCTGCTTCAAGCAACTAAAGTCAGGACATTTTTTTGTCTCAAGGAGCCTTCTAGTACACATTTTCACTCTAGTCCTCTCCCTAGCTCTTTCTCTAGCTTTTGCCCTCGACTCTTTGGCAAGAAGATCGACTGCTATGTTTTGCATCTTCTTCATCCTTTGCTTTTGACTCTCTGAAGGTACTCTGTCCTCTAGGTCCCCGCTTTCGGACACAACTTCACAATTAGTAGAAGTAGAAGACAAGCATTTCTCACCTCCATTCTTGGCTAGTTCCTCAATGGCATTTTTTGATTTGGTGAGCAGCCAGTCTAGGGTTTTACTTGCTTTATCAAACCCTAGCATCTCTTGGAGATCAAAGAACTTACGCGCGATTTCAATGGATAATCTCACTCTCCTATCTCTCAAGCCTTGAGCTGTGTAGATTTTGCTGTGCCTATCTTTCTTTACAGATTTTTTTCCAGAAAGAAAATGAGAACGATTGTATAGTTCTCCATCGAGAGCAGTAACATCTCGCTCAGACATCATGCTGTTGTTTGAAGCTGCCATGTTCATCACGGTCTCAGTGACTGGTAATGGGTTGGTTGATGCTGAAGGAATTGTGAGCGGGTCAATGTGGTGGTGGTGTTGATGGAAAATGTCAGTAGTTTCATGGTCAGTAATGTAAGGAGGGGGGCTGAAAGGAGAAGAGGAAAGGCTCTGAAAAAGATGGATGGTACTGCTGGTGGAAGAGAACATCTGTGGCTTCAATGGCACCTAGAAAGCCCTAGCTTCTTAGAAAGGTAAGCAATTTGACATCAAAAAGAGGAAACTACCTGTGGTTGCCAACCAAAAGAACTCCACCCAATTTTAGTCTTTTCAGATTTACTTCTTTGGAAACAAGGAATGAATAGAACTTCTTGAAAGACCTTCATGTACTGATGAGATCTGAAGAGAAAGAGAAGGGTAATTTAAACAGAAAGGGTTGGATTGAATAAATGAACATAATGGTAATTGTAAAATGTTAGGGATAATAGAGTTTGCTCATCTTTTTTTTTTTTTTTCTGTTTTCTTTTCCCTTCAAATCTGGGGCAAAAGAAAGGAGAGAAATAATATTAGTAACAATCGTCCTGCAGTATGTAATTTTTGTTTATTTATTTTAAAAGTATTTAAAAAAATTAATTTATTTTTTAAATTAATATTTTTTGATGTTTTAGATTATTTTGATAGATTAATATTTAAAATAAAAAATATTTAAAAAATAATTATAATTACACTTTTAAATACCCGAAAAACTGGCTGTGAGGCACAGAGTTTGGTGCCTCTTAACGTGGTAGCAGCAAAGAATGGTAGGGACTGATTTGCAATCTGTCCAACTTTTAGCCTTCTAATTCAGAAACAGGTAACTAGGTTTTAGACTGTAGAAGGGTAGCTAGGTTTCCCATTAAATGTAAAGAAAGCTGAAACCTGAGAACGAGTCTAGGGCTAATAGTCTTCTGGTGCAATTATGGTTGTATTTAGCAACATATCATGGAATAATCATGGTAAAATGAGCATTGAGGCTTCTCCCATGGAGTTTGTTTGTGTCGCAGGTCTGTATATTACATGTAAATACACAGCTACGTGTTAATTTGTGGAGGGTAGAGGAGGGCTTACCCGAAAATGAAAAAGAACAAGAAAAAACTTAGTATAATAAGAGAGGATAAACTAGGAAATACAAGCCAAAAAACTCAGAAGGAGTAAGGACTAGGTACTCGCAGAGCTGAAGCGAGCAAGTTAGCATCTCTTTTACTGAACCATTCAATGTCAGGCTCTTCTTCTTTTCTCTTTCCCCGTGGTGTTGGAAAACTTTATATATATATATATATATATATATATATATATATATATATATATATATATATATATATAATGCATGTATGTATATGAATGTTAACATATTTTTAATAAAAATAAACTCCAAATATTATATGTATTAAATGATATATTTTTTAAAAATATTAATATAGCAATATATTAAATAATGTTATTTTTTTAAAATATTAAGATTGTAACATATTAAATCGATCAAAGTTAACCTGTCAAATCTAAGACTCAAATCATGAGATTGTAATAATTTTATTAAAAAAATTAAAATAAATTATGAAATCTAATTTTTAATCAATCCAATTTTAAAAGATAAAAATATTAAATTAAAAAAAGGATAAAAAAACCTACTTAGGTTAACTCGAGTTAACCTGACAAACTTACAATGTAGGTCATGAGGTCAGGATAAACCAATAGAAAGCAAATTGAAAAAAGTTATCAATCCCAATTCCCAATTAACTCAATGTTGAATGATGAAATAAAAAAATAATTTAAAAAAGACAAAAAAAATAACCCAAGTCAACCTGAGCTAATCTGTTAAACTTGTGACCTAGATCATAAGACTATGATAGCTCTATAAAAAAAAATTAAAAAAAATTATGAAGCTCTACTTATAATAGATTCAATGTTGAAGGTTGAAATCGAGAAAAAAAATCTATGAAACAAAGATAACTTCACATAAAGAAAATTTAAAAATAATTATAAAACTCAATTCCCAAACAATATTATATTGAAAGATGAAATTGAAAAACAAATTTGAGTTGTTGGTGGGTGAAATTAACAAAAAAAAAAATCAATTAAAAGGAACAAAAAAACCACGTTATCTTGGGTCAATCTGCCATACTCGTAACTCAGGTTATGAGATTATGATAACTTTATGGAAAGAAAATAAAAAAAAAATATTCAATAAAAAATGGACCAAAAAAAGTGAATAAAATAAACACGGGTCAACTTGCAAAACCTACAATCTAAGTCATGAAATTAAGATAATTTCATAGAAAGTCAATTGAAAAAATTACAAAGTCTAATTTCTCATCAACCCAATGTTGAATAATGAAATAGAAAAAAAAAATCAATTAGAAAAAGAAGCCTAAAAAAATCCAAGTTAACCCAATTTAATTTGTTAAACTTATGACCTGAATTATAAGATAGTGATAAATTCATTGAAAGAAAACTGAAAAGAAATTATGAATCTCACTTCCAACAGATCTAATATTAAAGATTGAATTTGAGAAAAAAAATTAATTACATAAGACTAGTACATAATCCAATATAAAGGAAATAAAAAGAAAATTACAAAGCATAATTCTCAAAGTAATCTAATATTAAAAAATAAAATTAAAAAAACAAATAAATAAATCAAAAATAGGTTGTTGAAGGATTAAATTGAAAAGAAAAGAAACTAAACAACAAAAGGAAAAATAAAACACAAAGTTTCCCTCCTCCTTACCATCTTTATAAAAGAAAAAGGCTTGCAACTTCCACCGGTGGAAAGAGAGGGATTCGAACTCTCGGTAAACAAAAGCCAACATAGTAGTTCCAATGCTACGCCTTAAACAACTCGGTCATCTCTCCTACATAATCTGATTATTTTATTATGATCATCGCGAGCAAATAGCAAGTCAACACTATTCAAATAAATTATGACCATCACGAGTAAATAGAAGTCCTCTCACCAGCTCTTTTTTGCATAATTTTTTAATTAATTACATATTAGCATTACCAATTTTTCTATGTCAAATATAAGGTGAGTCCACCAAAGCACTAAAACACTTTACATCATAATCAATATCATTTATGTTTATCACATAAGTGTTTTTAAGTCCTTTTCCTATGAAAAACATTTTATTATCAATAATGCTTATGACCAAATAATATAAGGAATAAAAAATAACTATATTACCCATATTAGATAATTGATTAATGCTAAGTAAGTTATATTTTAAATCATCAACAAGTAAAACATGCTTAATGGTAGGGGAATTTATAATATCACCGATACCTTTACCTTTCTCTGGGTATCGTCTTCAAATATCGCATGTCTAGTATTTTTCTAGTTGAAGGAGATGAATTTAGATTTATCACCTTTCATATATCTTGAACATCTATTATTCAAATATCACTTGGATTTTTTTTTTCCTATAAGGAAAGATCTCAACATGGCAGATTTGGTACCCATAATTTCATAGGTCCAATTGGGTTAGTATATGTGTTTTTTGACACCCAAATAATTTTGATTTTAGTTGAGATATTCTTGTGCATGCAATATTTTTCATGAAAATCATTTTTTCAACAAGAATTATATATGCTTAAAAATGATAATGCTATAACAAAGAAGTTTGAGTATAGTTTTTTATTTTTTATTGGTTTATATCTTAAATCACTTTTATTAAACATACATATTTGATTACTTTGAAGTTGATCTGCATTCTCCTTTCTTTTAGTAAGTTTAGTCAAAATCGGATTCACATCAAGAACTTGAGCTTTTAAGATTTCATTTTCTTTGACTAATTTTTCATTTAAAATTAATGAATTAGATACATCTTTCAAATAATCTAATTTCCTTTTAAAACTAATACTCATTGTTAACAAGACATTCTTTTTTTTTTTTTTTGCAAAATATCAAAATTTTTTGAAAAAATATCAAGTTTACTGTGAAGCAAAATATTTTTTTATGTACTTTTTTTGTATTAACGATATTCATCGAAAGCATTTTGTAATTTATAAAAAATAATTTGAGATTCCAGATCATTTACGTTATTATTGTCGAGGGAGCTAATGACCTTCACACAAATTTTCTCTTTGGTGAAATCAATAGTATGCATCATATATAGATTGACTAATTCTCTTAAGTTGAAATCACATCATTTGATGAACTATCATCACTGTAATCATTTTCTCTTATAAAATTTATTTAATTGCCATACTTCTTCTCTATTCTTAAAAACAAATGTGAATCTTTTGAGAATCATAGCTACATCATCATTATATTATTAACTCATTCTTATCCTCAAGATTAGTCACTCATTTTAAATCCAAGGATTTCTTCCCAACTCCACTATTTTCAACCTCCAAAAAAAAAAAGATAACCACAGAAATGGTGGGTAAAATTATGTTGGATGTGCTCGTACTTATCATTCTTAATCAAATTTACCAAAAGCCTCAGCGTTGAAACTCACATATTTTTTATATTCCATACAACTAATGTGTTTCCATGGATCAATGCCCGTGTTTCCGGCTGATGTGCCCATCTCTGTCATCTCTGTAGACCAGTCATAGCACTATATATATATACAGTCTAAAGCTTTCCATTTGAACAGCATCTCCCTCTCCCTCTCCCTCTCCCTCTCTCTCCCTCTCTCCCTCTCCCTCTCTCTCTCTCTCTCCCTCTCTCCCTCCATGCACCATATGATCATAATCGTCTGTGGAGGATGAATACACAAGGGAAACCCTTGAAGGAGTAGTTCTAATGTTGCTCTCAAAGGACAGGATGGGCGGCAGAAAAGTTTGCTGAGTGAGTGACAGTGAGTGTGCATAACCCCATGAAATGAACCATTGCTTCCATTTACTTGTCATCTAATTAAAGTGATGATCGATCGCATATCCTTTTGGCCTATAAATTATAATGGCAGTCACTTCCATTCTTTCCATGGACATCCTCTGCTGTCTTGGTGGATTGATTAGACCACACTTCTCATCGAAGATGGGATTCATAAATAATTCATAAAAGTGAGGATCTAAAACAAGCTAAAACCGTGTTTCAAGCTCCATGATTAACGCTAAAATAACTAGCTTTTTCTTCCTTCTGAACCGCGTAGTGATTGGGGTAGCAATATTTAAATAATAATAGAACATGCAAATAAGCCTACCCCCTGTAATCTCTCAACACCCCCCCCTGTACCTGACTTTTCTGGTTTCTGAAGTGATGTGTCATGGTTTCCTTGTTATAGAATTCAAGAAAAGAGACAGAAATAGAAGAAGAAGACGAGGAGGAGGAGGAGGAGGAGGAGGAGGAGGAGGAGGAGAGATAACACGAACTGTTCTCAATTATTGCATTGACTTTGTACGTTTTCTATTACGATTAGCTATTTATACAAGTTCTGTTCTTCCTTCTTTTTATTAGCTAGCTAACCACCTACCTTCCAACTAACAACTTACCAACTAGCAACTAACTAATTTCTCCACACTTATTAGCTAACTTCCTTCTAACTGCTGTTGATGCCATATCTTTTGTTGCTGCTACCACTTTTGTTGCTGCTGCCTTCATGCCTCTATTTCGTGTTATCTGCTGGATAATAAAGATGCCTTCTCCTGTAAGATTCTTGTCCTTGAGAATTGAGATTAAGGTCCGGAAACTGAATGGTTAGCTCCTCCAAATCTTTCCAAGTGGTATTTTCCTTGAACAAATTGGACCATTGAACAAGCCTATAGCTATTGCCTAATTATCCTTCTTCATTACTTTTCTGTCTAAGATTGCTAGTGGATTAACCTTCATCAATCCATAGTCATCCACCTTCGGCAAGGATGTCGAAATCTGGTTCAAACCGATTATTTTTTATTTGGTTTAGTTTGATTAGATTAATAAAAAAAAATTGAAAAAACCAATAAATATAATTCGATTTTGTTTTATGTTAAAGGCAAGTTGATGCCAAGAAAGTGGATGATGAATTGATTGATTCAAATGCCAAGAATTGATTGAAAATAAGGATCCTGCCTTTTTCTTTTTAAATGATAAAAGGACCAACAAGATTTCCACCAACTCATAGGAGTGAAAAGTGGCTTAGCATTTGTCATATGAATACAAGCTAGAATGTCCATAATATATCATCTTTGAGAAAAGCATAATACCATATTGGATTCAGATAACTTTTACATCTAAAAAACCTTTAGATCCTTAATAGAAAACCAATGAGCAAGAGTTTGCACAAAATAATCAATAATCTCTAAATTATCACCAATGAGAATGAAAACATCAATATATGTTAAAAGATATATAATATGACCATCAACATCAAGTAGAAACAAAGATGTATCAATATAAGAATTTTTAAAGCCAAAATTAATGAGAAAATAGTGAAGTTCATGATACCAAGCTTGAGGTGCTTGGTTGGGGCGGTAGATTGCTTTTCTAAGTTTGCAAATATGAGGTGGATTATCTTGATCAACAAAGCCATATAGTTATGTCATATAAACATGTTATAAGAGGTGGCTTTAAAGAATAACATTATTTATAATAGGTTGTTTTAAGGACCAGCCTCGAGACATAGCAAGACTTAGAATAATATGAATCTAGGTTCATTTGATAATGGGATTGAAAGTGTTATAATAATCTCCCTCTAGTCATTGAAGAAGTTTCTTGTAACTACACGAACTTTAAACATATCAATAGAACCATTAGAGTCATGTTTAATTCAAAAAATCCATTTATATCTAATGTTATTACCAGTAAGATCATATGGTACGAGCTTTCATATTCTATTTCAAACAAAAGCATTATACTAATCAGATATAGTCCAATACCATTTAAGATTTTTAAAAGGTTGAGTTATCGTGGTTAATTCAAGTTCATTGAATTTAGTAAGTTAGGTGAGAAGGTTTATTTTTCTAATTGGTTTATGAATGTTATTTTTTGCTGTTGTAGTTATAGCATGAGTAAAAAGAGGTGAGTTTTTGCTATTGTATAATGATTAATTGGATTTAATTTTTTTAAGTTATTCTTATATTAGTTTTCCTATATTAAGATTTTTTTTTCTTTTTAATTGGATTACATTTAAACTTTATGTACATAAGAAAAATTATTTAAACTTTAAGTTATTCTTTTTAATTGGGTTACATTATTTTCTTATGACTTGATTGGGAGAGAAAACCCACTTCTTCTTGGTGTACAATTTACCACTCTACATGTCCTACAACTTAAAAGCCCAGAAAATATAAAGCAATGAGCCCAATTACAGCAGCTATTCACCAAGCCTTAAAGTGAAAAAAATGAAACACCCAACACAAGCCCACCAATGATACTTCAGCCGATCTTTCAAGGTTAAGACAACCTTTTCTTCCCTCTCCTTCCTTGTCTTCCACATCCACACGACACCTATCAAGATTTACTGTAACTCCAGAAAAGAGATCAACTGAACTCCCAATGATCAAACAAGAATCTGATAGCTCGAAACAGATCGATTCTTCATCTTTACCGCGAGAGTACCTCATCGGTCAACAAGGCTCGTGCACGTCTGGCTAGCCTCACATGTGAAGGTATAACAAGATGGACGTGTGAAGGACAATGGGATCCCATCTGTTCAGTGTACCGAGCCATTCAAGACGGGGCCGACTGCATGATGTTCCTGCGATCTGAGTCGATATACGCGTAGATGTTGGGGACCTCACAGCTGGTTCCATACTCCAGTTCATTATCGCCACATGGCCATGGACACCCCTTCCATTTGCCCAAAACTACCATGTTAAATGTACTTACAGCTCCAAAAGGAAAACAGCAACAGTCTCTTCTTGTCTCCATGATGGGGAAGGCTCGGAATGGATGCGTGCATGATCATGGGGGCAGACTGATAGTGTGGAGG